AAATAAATAAATAAATAAATAATAGTTTACAGGACCACTGATCGAAATTCTTTGAATGAGGCAAGAAGGTGGGAATCACCCTAGGAGGGATGCTCCAGCCAAGACATGTTTATTGAAAAGACCTCTTTGTCTAATTTTTGCCACCTTCCCAGTTCTGCTTCCCTGTACTGAACCCTATATTCCTGGAACCTGAGGAACGGCTAAGGTGTGCCAGAAGGAGCCTCACTAAACAAGCAACTTTCCATTTGTGAAAATCTAGATGGAAAACTTTACAGACATTTAGAACTCCATTACAGTTCTATTAGAAACTGTAAAATGGGATTTTAAAACAAGAATAAATCTTATTTTTGATTTTCAAATGTAGGAGTAAAATTCAAGACATTCTCTAAAGTTGTGCTCCATTACCAATGGCCAATTAAATCTCAGATCAGAGTAAGAATGAGAATTTGTGGCTCTTCAAATATTTATTGGACTAGAGTTCCTATCATCTCTCAATACTGGTTATGCTGGTCAGAGCCAATGAAAGCTGCAATCCAACAATAATTAACATACAGATGACTTCCATAAAAGAAAACAGTTTAATTTATATTCTTATTGCCTGTAGTATCACTGATGTCCCATTTTATTCTTTTGAAGGAAAAAAAATGAAATGCAGACACTGAGATTTATGACTACTGAAGAAAGGCTTATCTCTACACTAAATAATTAATAACCAACTTCAATGCCTCCTATAAATCAGTATGACCAAAATCAAGAGTCAGACAGTTTAAACAGGACAAAAGAAAGTGATTAACACTGTTACACTGGGAAAACGTTTACTTTTTGGTGACTTACTGCATATTCTTCAGGTGTAACTTTCAAAACATCAAATACTACTGCATCAAAGCTTTTCTTTAGTTCAGCAGAACCGTTGTCACTTAAGGACTCCGAGCTGCTACTCTTCTATCAAAATGGGAAAAAAGAGGGGTTTCAGACTACAAAGTTGAAAGACGACTGTATACTTCCCCCCCCCCCGCAAACCAAATCTGTTGGCAAAAGCTAGGCAGAAGTGTGAAGGAACTAACATTATTTTAGGAGTCCATTTAAAGATTATAAATTAGACATTTCATAGAACACTTCTCACCTACCCCAACCAGATTTTTAAATGTCAACATTTTTCAAAGAAAATGGAAATGTCCTTGACATGAATGCCTGTTCCCAGCAATCTTGGAATAACACAATCCTCTGACATGTCTGGGCAGAAAAGATTTCTTGCAAACTCTACAGAGTTCAGCTATTCTGATATGAGTTTGAAATCCAAATACAGTAGAACCCTTGTATCATTTGTGCCCATTAAGAAAAGAATACATGGGTTTTTCATGCCAGACTCGTCTTCTTTTTTGATAGTCACAAGCTTGGTAGAAGGGAATCCTGTGAATAAAGTGTCCTTTGATTTCAGAAAAGTATCTCAGTCTATCCTTGTTGCCAAGTTCATAAAATATGAACAAGATGACGCTACTATTAGGTTGATTTTAACTGGTTGACAGGACATACCCACAGTGTGCTCATCAATGGAGTAGTAATACTACCTAGCATTTATCAAAATCACTTTTGACAGGTGTGCCACCCCTGCAAGGCAGGACAAAGGGTCAAGAATCGACCCAAGGCCCTCCTCCTGGGTGGGCAGGGCTTTAGGGTGATGTAGGGCATTTTTGAGGCCACCGTGACCCTACAGGAAGGGTGTATAGACACCAGGGTCCCCCATGACCAGCACGTGGCCTCAGGATTGGCCCCTGAAGTGACATGTCACCCCCGCAGTCCTGTGGGCCAATGGGGCAAGGTTGGAGGGGTTTGGCTAGAAAAGAGGTGGCTGTAGGCCGCCTGGGGCTGAAACTCCACGGCAGTTGCTGAAACGCTACAGCAGTGGTTTGGGGGGCATTCTGCATGTGCTTGCTGCTCTTTGCAAAGACTTGGAGAAGATGGAGGACAAGGAAAACCAGCTCCCCAGGACAAGCCAAAAGGCCCCGGACTCCAAAACCACCACCAACCCCAGAAAGCGGTACATGAGTACAGATTCTGACAATGAGAATATGCCACCAGCATCACTACAAGGGCTGGAAGAACCTGAAAGATGGCATAATATGGAAGCTTCCTTTTATATAGAGAAACCTTCTGAAACACTTGTATGTAATCATTTGTGGAAGGGTGGCGCCAGAGGGCTGCTATATATAATAACACTGTGTATGCGTTTGTTAAAACCCCACTTTGATTTTTCAGGAACAACTCCCCTGAGAAAAGTCAAAACCATTATATCCATTATGAGAGCAAGTCTTTATGGAATTCTGAAACACTGTCTGACTGGCTACATGAAAGAAGCATGTGAAAGATGATGCCTAGAAATGTCTGATCAGACATCCGTCTGTCCTGGGATGCACACAGCCTTTCAAGAATGCTGCAAATGTTATATGGAAAAATCTGTTTTAAGACTGTTTTTTATGTTCTTACATTGGTTGCTTACCAGCATGTTGTCTACATCAATAGAAGAACTGTGGATTATATGTGTGAGCTTTTAAAAAAGTAACAAATTCTAATAATGCCTATTATTTTTTTAAAAAGTTACTGAGAAAATCAGATCAGAGTTTTCTAGAGACTCTGTTAACTGGGCTTAAAGGCTATCATTATAAAACTTTTCTCTATCAAGCCTGTGACATTTGAATAAAAACAATAATTTTGAAAGGTGACAATTTATGATATTTCATTATATCTGGTTCCACACTGCTGCTACGTACAGCCTGAGCCTGTATTTATAAAAGGCCTCTGTATACCCCCCCTTAAGTAGGCTTCAACAGTTCCCCAAAGCTTTTCCTGCTCAAAATAGAACAGCCTCAGAAAAAGCCCTATTGAAGCCATTTTTTTAAAAGGTTCCCCTTGACAATTTTTGTCCAGTCGTGTTCGACTCTAGGGGGCGGTGCTCATCCCCGTTTCCAAGCCATAGAGCCAGCGTTTTGTCCGAAGACAATATTGCATGGTCACATGGCCAGTGCGACTTAGACACGGAACGCTGTTACCTTCCCACCGAGGTGGTACCTATTAATCTACTCGCATTTGCATGCTTTCGAACCACTAGGTTGGCGGGAGCTGGGACAAGCGACGGGCGCTCACTCCGTTGCGTGGATTCAATCTTACGACTGCTTGGTCTTCTGACCCTGCAGCACAGGCTTCTGCGGTTTAGCCCACAGCGCCACTACGTCCCCTATTGAAGCCATTAAAGATTATTAACACACACCCCAAGCAGTTGTTATTCAGAAATATTCTTAGAAGTCCACTTTTGGGTAAATTTATTGGTTTTCAGAGGACCTATATTTATAAAAGGCCTTTGTATCCCCCCTTAAGCAGGCTTCAGCAGAATTTGTTGTATTTGTGGGTAAGTGAGAAAAGAGAACACAATTATAGGCATTATTCTGATTCCCAGGGAAAACTGTAAGTGCAAAACAAAATTATACAAAGAGTTTGGAAAATATTTTGGCATTATTTGCTTCTCATGGAAAACTGTATAAAAAGTGGGGCTTCTCTAGAGGATCACTACTCATTCCCTCTTCTGCCATCAACCTGTTGCTGAGAAGTGCTTCCTGATGGCTGAAAAACATGGCGCATGTAAGTATCTTATTGCCTAGCAATAAGATACTTGTAATATAGCTTGTATTCCTTTGCTTGTAATCATGCCTTGATCAGAGGTTTGGACTGTCTGGCTCTTTAGGACCCTACCAACCTTTTTTTCCGTTTATGCTTGGGGTTGTCTGTTATAGACATGATAGCTCTTACTCTCTCTCCCCCCCTCTTTTATAGAAAATGGTCACCAAAGACCAGATCCATAGGCCTTCAAGTTCTGAGCAAACAGGTAAGCGCTTATCTGTTTAAAGGACTTGTTATGCTTAGAATTAGAAAAAGCATGTAACTATTGGGACTTGTTATTTAAAATAAAGGGGAAATTGTAACTTTGGGTTTGGGAGGCTTTCTTTTATGTTTAGAATTAGAAAAAGGATGTTACTATTGGGGCTTGTTTCTTAAAATAAAGGGGAAATGTAACTTTGGGCTTGAGAGGCTTTCTGTTATGTTCAAACCAGCCCCCACACAACTCACTTTGTTCCCTTGTAGACAGTCAACCCTTAGAAAGACTCATGTTTTAAAATATCACAGTGAGCAAAACAGGGCCTTCGTATATATTTTATTTTATTGCAAGACACATCAAAAGGTTTTAGGTAACACAAGACCTAGTAGCCTTTTACAGAGTATGGAGAACCTTGAGTGCAGTTTGATGGTCACGTCTTGTCTAACAACAAGCATATTTAGTCTATTTTCCTGCAACAGAGAGAGAGAAGCATTTGTGTCTTTGCAAATTAGCACCCTCTCAGTAGAAAATGGATTGGTTTAGAAAAATCTCACAGTAATGCTGCTTTTCTTTTAGATAAATGGGGAGATTTGTGGATGGTACTTATTCAGCCGCCATTTTGATGAAGCCACTTTGCTTGGTTCCTCATAATATAGCTTGTCATACACTGTGTCAGAGAATTTACCGTATTTTTTGCTCCATAAGACACACCGGACCTTAAGACACACATAATTTTTAGAGGAGGAAAACAGGGAAAATATATTCTGAACCAAATAGTGTAATAAAATATTTAATAAATTATAACAGAATAACATTTGAACCATGTAAAGTGAACAGCAGTCAACAGTGTCATTAAGAACCATTACCACTGTCATTAACAAATGGAGAGACTTAAAGCTTTGTGTATTCTAGTTTATGTACCATAAATTTATGTACCATAAATTTAATTCAAGTACGTATAGACCATTATCAGCCAGTGATAAGACCTATACCATGCTACCTATATTTTACATTTCCTTTCATCCACCTCCTCCCCATGCTTATAGAAATGTCTCAATGACAGATGAGATTGTTGTGCAACTCTGCCCATCAACAGCTCAAGCCTATATTAAGTTAGAAATGGTTTGTCTGATTTGGCACTGCATTGAGAGGTCCCTTTTAGTTGTGTGGAGGATAAATAGTGGAATTAAACTATTTAACAGCTGGTTTTCCTTATTTACTTTAGATTATGCAAAAGAACAGCAACACAAAGCTTAACCCCAGCAGTAGCACATGCTCAGCATAAGACCAAATCTCCATTTTCTGACATAATTTAACGTCTATAGCATGCAAGGCACAACAGGTTAGGCCACACAAAGCCGTGAACAATGTTCTTGACAAGCCAAAAAAACTGAATACAAACTATAGTAGCTGAAATCAGGAAGCAGGTTCTGTAATCCAGTTAGAAGTCACGAGGCACAGTTAGTTTCCTTGCTGCAACACCCTTTGGAAATATATTCTCTATTAGATGCCCAGAACTAGTTGAAGAGTTTGCAAGTTGAATCCAAATTTCCCATAGAAATACCCCCCCCCCAAACAGCTAAAAGCCAGCAGGCAGTCGGCAGCTGGCAGCCATTTTGTGCTCTTCTCCGCTCCTGCTCCTTCCCCTTTCCCCACCTAACAGCTGATCGGTGCTGATCTGAAACGCTTCCCAGTCAAGCAGGTTTCAACTCAAACGAGCACCTTTTCACCCAAACAGGGTTTAACCCAGTTCAGTTCAGTTCAAGTTTATTGTATTAGCTAAATAATTGTTTAAAATACAGATATGGTCAATTAAAATCATGAAAAAAAATGCAGACATATAAAATAATAAGAGACCCCTCATATCTGAGAATTCCCACACAATTGATTGGAATGGTTTTCAAAACATTAGCCCGAATGTTTCTGGCCGCTTTTGCGAACAGCACTCTTCTATACGTAACATATGGGTCACACTCCAAAAGTAACCTGACCACCTTTATCTGAGGGGTTTCCTCCTGTAGAGCAGCCAAAATGTTACCCAGGAGCTTTTCTTGAGGGTTCTGATATAGCTGAC